TTTACCTCACAGATCATTGTAACAACCTAGCTTCATTTAAATAGACAGAAACAAATGAACAATCTGTGTGTTACTATTTCCTCTTTTCTATCAGCAGTCTTTGACATGTTTTCTGACTTCCTACCTTGTTTCCATACCAAAAAGTCCTTCCCTGATGTTAAACAATAAGTTATCGCTGCTATTGAGTATCGATAAAAATCATCTCCTTGTTGTGGAATGCTGCAGGCCAGAGGGGAAGGACTACACCGTTCACAGACTGGTTTTGGGGACCCACACGTCAGATGAGCAGAACCACCTTGTGATTGCCAGCGTCCAGGTACCAAATGATGACGCGCAGTTCGACGCCTCGCACTATGATAGCGAGAAAGGAGGTAAATACACCAGGACTCATCCTGCAGTAAAATGCTATTCACATGTTTCAGAATATATATTGAATTATAAAGTATTGCTTTAAAAATTAAATATTATAAACCATCATTACAAGTATAGTATGTAATATAATATAGGCACTATAAAGTAGTATAGTATATATACTAAAGTTTATTATTATATAGCCATGGCTATATATATACTAAGGCTATATATAACGTATTTAATTGTATATATATATTTACATTCATTGATTCTCATTGAGGCCTAAAGTTCACAAGCTCAGTCAAATAAAGACTGCAGCACAGTGTGAGGCCTAATGTGAGGCACTGTGCTTCAATACAAAGATGTTACTTCTTAATTGTTTAACATAGCTTAACAGAGACAGAATCCAACTGTCTAGAAACCCAATCCAACCCAATTCTAGAAATCTTGAAAGTGACTTTAGTAGCTTGTCATGTGAGACTTGATAGACATTCTCTTTGTAAACATTGATCAGCTCGTTTTATATTGTGACTCATGTTCTATTCCATTTTTATATTCAAACTGTTCTTCCATCTTCCAGCAGGTATGTTGATGGGTGCCCAGCTGTGTGTGTGTGTGTATGCGCGCGCTGAAGGCTCACTGCTCCTTTGGTATCAGTATCAGTATGTTACTATGGTCACTGAACAATTTTAAGGTACAGTCCAAGTCTAAATGTCAATACACAAAACCAGTCTAGCATACATACCAAAATAAATACAGACACAGATATGTTAACAGCTAATATTAATCTTACAAATGCACAAATGTGGGCCGGAGTTCAAATCCAGGGTTTTTGTCTCCAGGATTAATCACTTGTTAGGTATCAGCCAGTGATCTACTGTGCATCCCTAGTAAAACAGACTAACTGACTGGTCACAAAGCAAACTTTAACCTGCAGGTTAAGTGTCTGACTTCTATCCTGTGTATTTCACTCTGGTTGTATTCTCGCCAGAGTTCGGTGGATTCGGTTCAGTAAGTGGGAAAATCGAGATCGAGATCAAGATCAACCATGAAGGAGAGGTGAACCGAGCCCGCTACATGCCCCAGAATCACTGCATCATCGCCACCAAGACGCCCACCTCTGACGTGCTGGTGTTCGACTACAATAAGCACCCGTCTAAGCCAGGTTGGTTCACTGCTGTGCTTATATACTGATCACTACATGCGTCAAAATGCTCCCACTCTAGTGAATCACACATCATTTCCTGTCCCATCTCCCCTTTTCAGATCCCAGTGGGGAGTGTAGTCCTGACTTGCGGCTGAAAGGCCACCAGAAAGAAGGGTACGGCCTCTCCTGGAATCCCAACCTCAGCGGCAACCTGCTCAGTGCCTCCGATGACCACGTAAGTGAAATACTAGAAGTGTAGGTAGGAACCACAGGCGCCGCTTCCAACTGATCACTGTAACTGTAGCAACGGCCCTCTTATTTCCCTCCAGACCATCTGTCTATGGGACATCGGGGCCGGCCCAAAGGAAGGGAAGATTGTGGATGCTAAGACCATCTTCACCGGCCACACAGCAGTGGTGGAAGACGTTTCCTGGCATTTGCTCCACGAATCCTTGTTTGGCTCGGTGGCTGACGACCAGAAGCTCATGATGTAAGTGACTGATACAAAGCCAGTCTGTTGTCTGTTATTGTGACTGCTTTTATCAAGTTAAAACTGCTCCATTTCCGTGTTTTCTGTCCGCCTCTGACCCTCCTTAATCGTCCACCAGATGGGACACTCGGTCCAACAACACATCCAAAGCCAGCCACGCAGTGGATGCTCACACTGCTGAGGTCAACTGTCTCAGTTTCAACCCCTACAGCGAGTTCATCCTTGCCACTGGTTCTGCTGATAAGGTACAGAGGAGGCACAAAAAAAGGCTCAAATCCAATACATTGGAATAAATATTTAATGAAAAGTTTGTTTTGTTGCTCTCAGACTGTTGCATTGTGGGATCTAAGGAACCTCAAACTGAAGCTCCACTCCTTTGAGTCCCACAAAGATGAAATTTTCCAGGTAAGAACTTAAATCGCTGTTGTTAGTGTTATTAGTTAGCCCACGCAGCTTTGTCTAAATGTATTTTAAAGACCTCTTTCCTCTAACTGTGTGTTCATAGTGTGCATCCAAGGTTTACATGAGCTTCAACAAATGCTGTGTACGGCCAAAGCTCTTGTAAATCACAAATATGACCTCATACCTTTAATACTGCCCCCACATCATGAGGAGAAAAAACCATAGTTACTGTGCCTGCTGTACCACGCCACGTTGCTGAAATGAATTCCCAACACACAAGTATGCTATCAAACAGCTTTCATTCCACTGCATTAGCTTATTTGACCAGAACCGATCTGTGACTCAACACAAATGGTGTGCTATTGCCATTGTAGTGAGTATATACTCTAACCAGTTAAATCATCACTGTCTTTATGTAACACCCAGCACTGTAGGAGTTATTCTTTGACATTAAAGTGCGTGCTGCTATACTACTGTCACTACATTGACCTGCCAGTGACCAACTGTCCAACCCATTAGGTACAGTGGTCTCCTCACAATGAGACCATCCTGGCCTCCAGCGGCACTGACCGACGTCTCAACGTCTGGGATCTCAGGTAAAACCACCATACCTCAGAATCCACACTTTTCTGGAACAGTGATAGATCAGATTTGTCTTAGGAGATTTGTTATGTAAAAGTACTTGAAATGAAACTGTCAAATAGGAAGATAGGCCGTAGACGGGCTGCTATGACAGGGATACACATCAGTGTTGGAAAGGGCGGCACAGGGATTGGATTTTGTGAAGTGGACCTTGAGACAGTCACTGCCCAAGGCATATTCCATTTGTGTCGCAGGCTGCTGGAGCCGTCTGTGATGACCTCCAGACAGCCCCGGCCCGTCATAGGCTTATGTGCTGGATGAATGTAAAGTGGAAACACTACTACATACATTACACTGAAAAGTAAATAGACTCAGAGTTGTTTGTTTTCTTTTCTTTTCCTAGTAAAATCGGTGAGGAGCAGTCAGCAGAAGATGCTGAGGATGGGCCCCCGGAGCTGCTGGTAGGTGATCAAATCAAGTCCCCTTTAGATCCCTGAATCCTCATGAGTCCTTAGTTATATCAGTAAGCATCAAATCTTTGTACGCAGAAGAGCAGTGTGTGTAATGTGACTGGAGAGTGTTGATCAGGGATGTCTGTCTGTAAAGCTCATAGTGCCAGTCTTAACTTAATACATCACATCAACTAGCTGCTCAGGGACTGCATAAAAATAGAACAGCGTAAACAGTTCTCAAATGTTACTGGTCAGTTTGAAAGCACTAACCTTTCACATCGGTAGGGTTTGAACACGTCCACGGTTCCTGTTTGCCTCTGAATGTTACTGATACCTTTTTTCCTTTAGTTCATCCACGGTGGCCACACAGCCAAGATCTCTGACTTCTCCTGGAACCCCAATGAACCCTGGGTCATCTGCTCAGTGTCCGAGGACAACATCATGCAAGTCTGGCAGATGGTGAATACAGTTTTTCTTTTTGGGATAGTCAGAATATGATAGCTGCAGTCCCTCCCCACAAACCGTATGAAACCTGGAGAACATCCGACCTCAGTCAAAGTGAATGGATGATCCTGTTGAGCTACTTCCTGGTTAAATTGGCAGATGTCTGTGGTCTACAGATGTATACCTACTTCTTTCTTTCCTGTAGTCATTTTTGGGCGGTATTATTGGCATCTTAGTTTCCTGACGAACAATAATATGTTGTTGATGACATCCTGCCCTTGGGTGCGTATACTCATTTTCCGTCCAATAAAATGCTTCCCTTTTTTATGAGTACATTAATGCTTGCGCATTTTGTTTGTTGTTCTTCTCCCAGGCGGAGAACATCTACAATGACGAGGAGCCAGACAACACCCCCGCATCCGAGCTGGAGGCTCAGGGATCATAACCCCGCTGTGCATGAGTCTCTGTGCAGGCACAACCCCCTCCTCCACTCCCTGAGCTCCAGCCCAGCCTGTCGTTTCCCTCTCTGGCTTACCTCGAGTGCAAAATGAAAAGTGTGCCCTCCACGTGAATGTGGAGGGTTGGACACAGCATGGACAACAACCATGCTAACAGACAGTAGGATTCAGTCTCATCCTGCTTCCACTTCAACATGGCCCAGGTACCCAAAAGCACTTAAGCACTTGGAATAGGAGAAGAGTTGACATTGTTACGTGCTCAGGTGGTAGTATCTCCAGTGTTGGGGGGGACCTTATGTGCACAAGGTCCACTGTAAGTTATTCAGACCAGTTCATTTTAAAGGGCTCATGCATGGAAAATATTAAAGTGTTATTTTACATTTGGACTTCTGAGTAGCCAGAAAAGCACTAGAATAGTAGGCGTCCCTAAAGATGTAAAGGAAACCGAGACAATAGAAGACTATCTGAACACTGAAATGCTTTTGGGAAACCTGATGTACATCTGTCCAAACTATGTGAAACCTAACAATGGAAATATCCAGGAAAACCTTCTTTCATACCTTATTTTCTTACTCATGGCTCTTTTGCAAAATCTCTTCCTTGGCTGACCTTTGAAGGAACATTCCCTGCTGTTTGCCTCCTGTCCATAAGGTACACAAACTCTTCAGTATTTGGCTTGATTGAAAGGTGAGGGACTTAATTAGTGCACTTGAGGGACACGCACATGTTTTTTCTCTCCTTTGTGTTCTTAGATAATGTGAAATTGTTTTGTTTCCTGCACCACAAATTGCAATAAAACTTTTATAACTTTTCAAAACTAAGTTTCGCATTTATGTAAATCTGAACATTTTCTGTGACCAAGGACAGGCTCAACAATCTCATTAGTACACATTCTGAGAAACTGCACACAAATGACATCTTCCACCCACTTTACTCACACAGAAAATGACACAAGACCCAATAATTACTTGGAGGAAATAAATCCAATTATTGCAAATTCTACAAAATGTTTATTGAAAAGTAAGACAGGACTATAAGAACATTGTACAATCAAAGAGGGGGGGTGGGCTCATTATTTTTTAGTAAAAAATAAAGCTCTCCGAAGCTATGGTGACTCATGCCTCTTCTTTCACAGTTCGTCTCTCCTGCAGAGGTAGATTCTGACATTACCTGAGAGTCAATCTGGGGCAACGCCAAAGAAAGAAGAAATAGATGGTGAAAAGTCTCCCCTCGGCTCGGGCCGTGACTAGAGCTGTCTGAACTACTGAAAGAAAATCACACACACAAACTGCCTGACCCTATTCTGTTATATCCACACAATGTGAAGATCAATTAGAAGTTTAGAAAGGCCTGGAGTCTTATGACATTACAGCCAGTCACACACAGGGTGTACGTATTTAATGGAAATGATTTGTCAGTACCACCCCTCTGATTCTCACTGACTTTACAATAGGGCTGCCACTTGAAGAGCTGGAACAGCTTGAAGCTGCAGCAGCTAACTTTTTAAAAAACTGTCACATTTCCTGAAACCTTCTCTATGTACCAGCAGTAGTCCATTAGACAAATAATCTGTAAAAAATCAAAGGTTCCACTGGCTTGTTCCTAGTGCTCCTAATGGAATTAGAAAGAATCCACTGGGCCTGAATGAAAACCAACCAGAGACGAGAGATGGTTGATCATTGAGTCTCATTCTCAGCGTTGATATTTGACAACCTGGAAATCTCAACTCTGAAAATGCCATTAGGAGCACTAGGAGGAGCCAGAGGAACCTGATTGTTTCACACATTATCAGTCTCATCTCATTTATTTTTTTTTAGCACTTTAATAAGCACTTCTCACGCCCACTGCGAATGATTTCTGAAAGGATGCTGATCTTGGATCAGTCTTGTAATTATACCCTCAAATAAAAAACCTGGATCCCAAATAACGATGCAGATGAAGCAATTACAGGGGGATAATATTGAAAATTAAGTGCTATATTCAAAACATTAACAGTAGCTGCAGTATGAGATATGGCCCAGGTAATGGAGCAAGCTGGGTTCAAGAAGCCACAAAAGAAAACTGTTGAATGAGAATAAAATAAGCAGAGGATGCAAGTGTGTGAATGGCATTTGATTTAAGGGGATTTGTCTTCACACCTCCAAACAGAACGCCCAAATGATCCGTCTCACAATCTGAAACAAGATCCAGACCGTGACCATGCTGATGATAGATTCCCTACATTCACATTAGGACTCCACACACTGAGTTTCCCCTTATACAATAACTGCCTCTCCTGTAATAGCTCCTATTGATATGCATCACTGATGGAAATCAATATCCTTTTATTCAAACACATTAGAAAAGCAAATCACATTCAGTTTTCTTCCAGTATAAAGTTTGGAAAATGACAAGGTCCATTATTCTGATGAACTAAACTCATAATTTACATAAAATATGGATAGCGTTTCCTCATGTGGCTCCTCTCTGTACACCCTGTTGAGCTGACTGTATGGAAATCAAATGACGTGCTTTATTAAAAACAAACTGATTGCTGACATGCAGATTTAACTGCGTATTTGCTGAGCTTTCATCTCTTTACATACATTTTAGTAGTGAACGAGAAGAAAAGCAGAAAAATAAATGTCTTGACCTGTGTCATTCATTCTATGTTTGAATTTTCCAAAACCAGACGTAACCAGTTCCTAGGAGGGACACAGAGGGTAAAAAAGTTAAAAGTTCTAATCCTTAACATTTTACTCCTGGTTGATTTGGTCCCACCTGTGGTAGCTGAAGCAAGCGCAGTTCAAAATGACACACAGATCGATCACGGGAGTAACTCGTGTGTCTAATTACGTCACAGGACCGATACGATGCTGCTAAACTCACGACTCACCGCTGACTCACACATTAAATGCACCACACTGGGCTTACATCGTTTCCTGTTAATCTCTTGCATGCAGGTAGATGGTTTTAAGATGGAGTAGTAAATCACATTATAAAGTCAAAATATTGTCACCTAATTTACCAAATCGAATGATTACATACCACCTTTGGTTATAAACTTTTTTCTTGTGCGTCTTTGTTCTATCATATCAATATATCACATCATTTTTTCATTCTTGAATATATTCTGTTGTTTTTTGTCCTAAATCCCAACTTTATTCTAAAAACATCTTGGCCCTTTTCTCAAAATGTTTCAGCCCTACCACCACCCCTATGGCCCTAATACCCCACTGTATTATTGGAATTCAATAAAGATTAACTCCTATGTGGAGGGGAAATTACAGAATGCAAAGCCATGGGCCAAAAATCTCATCTATCAACAGCAACAAAAATTGGGTTTGATACAAAATAATCTTAAGAATTATAATTTATAACTGAGAAAACTGCAACCAGCCATTAGCCAAAAGATCAAACTGTACGGGACCTGTAGAGCTGTCCAGCAGTCAGCGGTTCAACCCCCACTGTTGAAGCTGCTGTAAGAAGCGTGCAGTCAGTTAGTGGTCGAGGTTCAACTTGAACCCCTTTCAGACGTCTGAGTTACAGGCAGACTGAGGGAAACCTTGTTCTAAAGACATCAACACTGCTGTTCAAGTTGCAATTTCTTAAGCTGGTTTTGATTAAACATTGGGCCCAGGCAGATTTAAGCCTCTCTTTTTTTTTTTTTTTTAAAGAGTTCAACTTGAACTTTGTTTTGTAAATTTGCACCGCCTTTGAGGGAACAGAGAACTACAGTTTAAAATAATTATAATATGTCGCAGCTAACTTTTCTATATAACCCTGCTCTGCCAGACGATAAAAGTTGGTGGTATAAATATGTCTAGAGTAAACTGTTAACCTTTTGTCTAATTAGCAACCAAGCTAACTAGTCGGGCTCAAGTAAGAGGGAAACTAAAATTGAATTTGTTAATTTAAACGAGGACCCTCTGCTTCCTTACTTGACTGACAAGCTAAGTTGCATTTTTCTCATCAGTTTGGTTTGAATCAGAATGGACAGCTAAGCCCTGCTTGT